AGCATATGCCATCCTTCTAATTAGCAGAAAACTACTAAAATATAAAGTTGCATGTATTATCAATCACTATTATAGCTTTATTTTTTTCTTTAACTATTGTGGGGTGAGGTTATATATTGTAGATGATGTTCTATTAAGAATATGTTAGATTGACATGATGTTACAACAAAATTTATCAATAAAAAGTATTTTTAATGGAATGGGCCACCTTAAAAAGTTTTAAGAGTTTATTATGAAGATCTTCCAGTGGTTATTGGATCACTCTTTATTAGGAAAGTTTGGTTTGGTTTTGTTTTGTCTTGTTTTGTTTTGTTTTGTTTTTTCGGTGAGGCAATTGGGGTTAAGTGACTTACCCAGAGTCACGCAGCTAGTGTTATGTGTCTGAGGCTGAATTTGAACTCAGGTCCTCCTGACTTCAAGGCCAGAGCTCTATACACTGCACCCCTAGCTGCCCCCTTTATTAGGAAAGTTTTAAACAGGATTATTGATTTTGGTGGAGATTGTGCTAGATGATTTCTGAGATCCCATCCAATTCCATTAGGTCCGTAGCTCTGTGAAACCAGAAATTTATTTTAAAGATTGCAAATAATAAATATATCTTTAAAGTGCTAGATAAATATAAGGTATTATTGAACTTATAAAAACAAACAACCTTCTTTACATTCAGCACCCCTTCTATATAGCATTTGATATCAGACACCTCCCTTATCCCCTTGAATCTCTCTTGGTTTCCATGACCCTAATTCTTCTCTTAATACTCTGATTACTCCCTATTTTGTCTCTTTTGCAATTTCCTCTTCCTTTTCCTACCCACTGTCGTTATGGTCCTCAATCCTCTGTTCTTGACATACGAGAAGCTATATATGAAATATGAAACAAGGGGAAAAGCAGAATCTAAAATGGTATATGTAACCCTAAGTAAAAACACATATAGGTGCATTTCCAAAGATTGGAAAATAATTTGGAGTAGTGTAATTATTTAGAGTGGAATGTTCATTAGGTTCTTTATTTTGTAAGGTTTCTCAAGTTCATAATAGTAAAAATTTTTCAAAAAAAAAAAAAGAAAAATTTTAGGGGTTAGATTGGGGTTTTGTGGTGCTGCCATGATTATTTAGCTCCTTTCTCCTCCCCCCATGGCCACATTTCAGAGTTACTCAGCGACTTCTCTTGCACTGAACAATACCCCTTGCAGCTGTGCCTGGCGCCTGAGTGTCACCCAGGCTGGGTTTCATGAAATGGATCTGATGCTCTTGTGCCTGTGTTGTTCAATCCAATGCTTTGGAGCCATTCCCAGAAAGGTGACGGGGCAACAGGTTGGACTTTGCTCCCCAGCTGTCCCTTTTTGCTATTGTCACTCACTCATGATATAAATAAAGTTGATTCATTCACTCTATCTCTTTTCAGACCAGCATATCACAAGCCCCGGGCATTTGGAAGGGCCTTAAGTACAGATATCATTTAGGTTCCCCTTGCTTATACTGAATTTTTAAAATAATCTTTCTCTTTGAATTGACTGATTTCCATTTTAAAATATTATTCCATGATCATCTTCTGACATCGAAGATGAACTAACTGCATTATTAAAGTGTTTATCTTTTCATACTTCTTGAAACATGAAACAAACTAACTAAAAAGATTGTTACTAGGTCTGGGTCTTTCCTGAGCTGATAGTCACAGGCCAAGTTGCACATAGATATGTAGCAAGATGATTCTTTTCTCGGGACAGATGACTAGTGGTTGGAATACTTAGCTCAGAAATTAAGTGTCCTAGACTTGCTAGGAAGTTGTAAAACTTGATTCCTATTTGCCTTAGAGGGACTAGTTGGCGTTTGGAAACCATTTTAAAATCCTAAATTGAAAATATTTTACTGTTCTTGAGGAAACATTGTTATTTATGATTTCACATCTCTATCAATCAGCAGTTTTTGTAAAATACCCATCATGTGAATGCCACTGTTCCAGGCAACTGTGGAGGATATACAGAAAAGAAAAGTCATGCCTCCTCTGTCCTTACAATTTTGTTGTTCTTACAATTCAGTTCAATCCAACAAATGTGTCTTATGCATTTGTTACGGTACATACAAGTCATCATGGTAGGCACAGGGAATACAAAAATGACAAATAGTCCCTATCCTTAAGAATGTAAATTCTGTTCAGAAATACATGTAAACAAGTAAGTAAATAGATTATTCGAGGAGAACATTAATAGCAAGAATCATAATAGCAAGAATCAGGAAAAGTTTTGGGGTTTGGTTTTTTTTAAGGAGAAGATACCTGAGATGTCTTGAAAGAAACTTAAGGATCTAAAAAGGTAGAAGTAAGGAAAATACATTTCAGGTATGAGTTACTGCCTATTCAAGGGCATGGATTAAGGAATGGAATGCCAAGTTTTGCAAAAAGCAAGTAATCCAAGTTTTTGAAACATAGAATATGGGAAAGAGAGGAGTGTGAAAAAAAAAGTCTGAAAAAGTTAGGATGGAGCCATACTGTTGGTTTGTTTTTTTAATGTGAGTTATATCTTTTTTTTTTTTTTTGAGGCAGAGTTAAGTGACTTGCCCAGAGTTACACAGGGGCAAGTGTCTGAGGCTGGATTTAAACTCAGGTCCTCCTGACTTCAAGGACTCCAGTGCTCTATCTACTGTGCCATCTAGGTGTCCCATGGAGCCCTATTGTTGAGAGCTTTAAAGGCTAGTTCAAGGAATTCGTGTTTTCTCCTAGTGGCAATAGGGAGCCACTGAAGATTCTGAAATAAGGGAGTGATATGATCAAACCTGTGCTTTAAGATTATTTTGGCAGCTTTGAAGAAATAAGAAACTGGAGACAATTAGATAGCCATTATAATAGTCCAGACAAGAAGCGTTGATTCTCTCTGACGGAGCCACAAATGTACCTTTTCCCCTTCCCTTTTATCTTCTCCCTCTCCTCCCACATCTGCCTAGGTCTTCTTTCTCCCTCTTCTTCTACCAGGCAGAGATGATATAAAACAGAGGCTCTTTGCGAAGAAAACCCCAAATGGGATCATGAAGAATTGGACACAACTGAAAGAATTGAACAACAGGAATAGATAAAAGTCTGGAATGTAGAGTTTGTCTGGAACATGGAATTGATTAAGAGAAGTGAGATGAAGTAAGCCTAGAAAAGTGGGTTGGGAGCCAGTTTGTGGAGGACTTTAATTGTCAGGCAGAGGGAATTTATTTTTATCTTGGAGACACTAGGAAGCCCCCAAGTTTTTCATCAGAGGAGTGACATGGTCAGGCCATTCTCCAGAATATTCATTTGACAGCTTTGTGACAGATGGATTGTTGAAGGGAGATACTGGAAGCAGGAACACCAGTTATAATAGTCCAGGTGAGAAGTGATGAAGATTTGAACCAAGGTGGTGGCTGAATGAGTAGAAACAAGGGGATGAGATGTTTTTTGGGAGGTGTGAGAATGGACAAGACTTGGCAATTGCTTCAGTGTGGATACTGTGAAGGAGAAGGTAGAGTAAAAGGTGAGTCTGAGGTTGCAAGCCTGAGTAACTGGATCCTGGGCCCCTTGTTAGAAAGAATGAAGTTTAGAAATTTGGTTATCTGTTTTTTCTAGCCCACAATAAATTATTAATGGCAGGAGGGGGAGCAGGGAGTAAGTCTTACAGACAAGCACACTGCCAGTAGGAGAAATGAAAGCCACCAGACTGACATTGAGGGAAGAAACAGAAGAACTTAAAAAAAAAAAAAGCAAATGCAAAACTGTATAGTATACAGTTTGATATATAGTAGTATTCTATATAATAAATGCTTATACTGATGACTGAGTTATCCAGAAAACATTAAAGTGTAATTAGCATCCTCTAAGAAGGCAGTGAACGGTTTGGCATACTTTAGAAAGCTGGTTATCAAAAGTGATTTTTTTTAAAAAAAATTTTTTTTTATAAAGTTTTAGTGCCCAAAGGAGCATGCCCAGTTATCCAGAAAATCCACTTATGTGTCCCTCATTCCCTGATGTTGCTGGATCTCCTTCCCTACTAGCGCAGCTGCTTCAGCTTTGAGCCTTGTCTTTTCAGCTCCTGCTTACAGCCC